GGAAATTTTAAGACATTCAAACACATGACTACATTCAGCCTTTTTAAGATAAAATCCTGCTTCTTGAAGAAAACAAGAAGTAATTTTCTTTTCCAAGTAGAAATCTGAGTCTTATATGCCATTTAAAGAAAAAAATTCACAAAGCCAGGTTGCTGACTTCAATAGAGGGCAATTTTTCATCAGCCAGGTCTGTCAAAACCATTTTATTCCACAAATTGGATAGCCATATCTGTGTGTTCTCTATCAGTCATAAGAAAATGGTTTTCTTTTGATTGGTAGTATTGGGTTTTATTTTTGGATGTTCTCTTTATCGAGAGCGAAGAGAAATATCTAGACAATATTTAATATTTTTGAAAGCATGTGATATTTACAAAGGATAAGACCAGAATAAAACTTAAGGGTTTGATAGACATTACTTTGTGAGTCTTGGAACTATCTTTGAGATAAAATGGAGATGCAAAGGACAAATATTGATTGAGGGCCTGCTATATAAAAGTAACTGGACCAGGAAATTTATATGGGTCATCTCCTTAGTGGTCACAAACCCTGTGAATTAGGTATTCTCAACTCCATTTGAAAGATAACAAACTTGAGCTAGGTAAGATAAGTAATTGGCCAAAAGTGACACAGAGAAGAAATGAAAGGGAGACAGCATTCAAATCCAGCCCCGTGGCTTTCACACTCATGCTCTGAGTAGCTTACCATAAGGACAAAAATTTATAAACACCCCAAATGGCAATGTCAGAATTGCTTAAATAAATTGTAGTATCTCCATACAAAGCAGTTGTGGCAAATGATGCTATAGATCTATTTTCATTGACATGAAAAGATGTTAAGATGTAAACATCAAGTAAAAAGAACAGACTATAAAAATAGAACATATTATATGATCCCTTTTGAGATACATATATAATTTTATATGCATATTTGCATTTAAAAACTTATCATCGGTGATGGGTTTTGAAATGTGTTTCTTTTCGTTACTCATTTACTTGGTGTAAAATTAGCTTGTAATACCTGGACGGTTGGATGAATGGATAGATAAAGTGACAGATGTATAGATACATACATAGATATAGATATAGATAGAATTTAAAGATCTAATGTTTAAAAAATGAGATTTGTCGGCACATCTGATATTTGAAAAGCTGGTTTATATACTTTAAGGATAATCATCTGCAACATACTTGCAGAGTTCAGAAAAACACATCTATAAGGGTATCTGTGTATCAATATCTATATACTTATATTATTTTTCTCACTATCTATATATAAATGTACACATATAGACAAAGAATGAAACAGTATCTACATACTTAGAATGAAAGAATATTATGATAAAGGAAATACAGCAAAATGGTAATGATCGGGGAATCTGGATAAAGGGTATATTGGAGTTCCTTGTGCTATTGTTCCAATTTTTCTGTAAATGTCAATTACCTCAAAATGTGAAAGTTTAAAGAACCAATCCACATTTTGTATTTCCAACACAGAGCCTGGTACAAGATAATACCAATTTAAACAGAGACACTACTCCACTATTTGGTCTCCCTATTGGCACTTGAAGCAAGTGCCTGTGATCAGTTTTTTAGTTCACCCTTTACAATGCTTGTCACAGGAATAACTTGCAATTTATTTGGCTATGTCTTTCCCAGAGCCCAGAAATAACGGGAAGCGTCCCATTTGGCTTCCCAAGGCCGGCACAGTCCTGGTAACGGAATGTAACAAAAATCCATCGACCAACATGAATCTTCAATACAGACACACACGTATAAAATAAATACTAGCTTATTCAAGTCTAGTAATGCCTTAAAGGAAAATAATAGGTAGGGTTTATTTCCAGATTATAAGGGAAGTTCGGCATAAGAAAATCTAGAGAAGTTAAAAGAGATACTCCATCTGAGTCTCTTGATAACTAGTGAAAAGGTTCTTCTTTAGCAACTCCCTTCTGCAAACTAAAAATAACAGAACACAGTAAAGAAGACTACCTATTACAAACAAAAAAGAAATATATTTGGGGAAGGGGACACTAGAGACATTACCACCCAAGCTCGGAATAAGAAAAACATACCATTATCATTGCTATTATTCAGTACTGTTCTGGAGGCTCCAGCCAATATAGTAAAAGCAAATTATAATTATTTCTTAATTTTATGATAGCCTATCTAAAAAAATGCCAAAGAAGCCACCAAAAAGCTACTGATTAATATGACAGTTTTAATCAGATCCAGTATAGATATATCAAAGGTTTATGCCACAGATCAGGAATTGGCCAACTTTTTCCATAACGGTCAGAAAGTAAATATTTTAGGGTTTGTAGACCATATGGGCTCTGTAGCAACTATTCAACTCTGACAAGCAAAGCAGCCATTGCCTATACATAAATGAATAGATGTGTCCATCTTCCAATAACATTTTTAACAGTTCATTTTTATTGTATTTTTCCGTTACCATTTATCTTTCCTATGCCCTCTTCCACCTCTACTCAACCGCCTCCCCCCATAACCGCCACACTGTTGTCCATGTCTATGAGTTCCTTCTCTTTTTTGCTCGGCCCCTCCACTCCCTACATCACCCAAAAGCTGTCAGCCTGCTCTCTATCTATGAGTCTGTCTCTATTTTGGATAAAACAGTAATGAAACATTTACACAATGGAATACTACTCAGCTGTAAAAAAGAAAAAATTACCCTTTGCGACAGCATGGATGGACCTGGAGAGCATTATGCTAATGAAACAAACCAGTGAGAGAAACACAAATACCATATGATCTCCCGCACATTTAGCATGAACAAACTGAACTAACAACAAGGCTTTATTGACAAAAACAGACAATGGGCTGGATCTGGCCCACAGGCCACAGTTTGCCGGCCTCTACACCACAAAAAAACAGCTGATGGAGAAAAGTTACCACGTCAAACAGCAAGAAAATTTATAAGTAACTTTCTAAAGGGCACAGACATATTTCAGTACAGACATAAAGATGTGTACACATGGATATTTATTACAGTGTTATTTGTCATAAGAAAAATATCTAATGACATAATCCATGCCTATAACAAATAGATTAATTTTTTAAATTTTTAATTTATTGATCTTAGATAGAGGAACGAGAGAGAGAGAGAGAGAGAGAACACATCAATTTGTTGTTCCATTTATTCATGCATTTAATCATTGCTTCTTGTATATGCCGTGACTGGGAATCGAAGCTGCAACTTTGGTGCATAACTCTGGAGTATCAGGACAACTCTCTAACCAACTGAGCTACCCAGCAGGGACTGAAATACACAATTTTTCAAAGCAGGTGACAGACTAGTATGTATACCAGCTAATTTTTAAGAATATGGGTGTACAATGAGGTTATACATATGTATGCACATGTGGGAATAAACATGTAAAGATATATATATCCAAATACTTTTACGGGTGGACTTATGGGTGATATTCTTCTTACTTTATGCACATTATTTTTGCTCTTTTTTATCTCCCATCTGAGCTTGGATATAAGATTTTTCATTTTTAAAAGCAGCAAGCAAAAAAACCAGTGCTACTCTGAATAATTTACTCTTCTATGATTTTTAAAGGAGCCCATATACAACATCCTCCTCAAACAAAGCACATCAATACTGATTTTAATTTTTACATTATGACATCTTCAAAAAGTTCTTCAAATTACTGTAACTGTTTCATGCCCTGAAGATAGAAATCTTGTCTATTTCTTATCCTTCAGTGAGATTTCTGCAGGCATGACTGCGTGTGTGCACACATCTCTCTGTCTAGGAAAAACCACCAGAGAAGGGAAATAGAATAGGCAAGAATGGCAGGTGAGAGCCCAATGTGAGCTAGTATCTTACAGGGAAATTAAGTATTAGTAAATTCATTCCTCAAGGTCCTATTTATGGGTCCATAAAATGGGAATATCACCTGTCGGGTTGGGGTAAAACTCTGACATTCTTGAAAGTTGTCATTTTTAACTTATAAAGACTAAGTTGCCACTCTTAGTAGAAAATACAAGTCCATATGATTTCTATTTAGTTGTGAAACTTAAGCACAATTTTCTTACAATTGATAACAGGTATCTATTTTGCCAAGCTTCAGTTGTTATCATACATGTATAAATCGATACATACTTAATTTTCATGTACTTAAAATCTTGGGGGAAAAGGAGACGGAGAAGAAAAAGGAAGATCCTTATAACTTCTCAGAAATTCTTTGGAGGTGTTACTGGACATAAGTTATATGGCATAACTCGTAGTTACCAAAAAGAGAAAAACAAAACATTTTTTTGCCTCCTCAAAACAATGACCTTATCTGGCTTTGAAATCTACTAATTTCCCTCCTGAAGTGGCTTTCCCCAAAAGCTCAGCATAAAAATTAGATCCATTAAAAACAGAAGATCTTCTAGGAAAATACATTTTCAGCTTCCGCAGTGTGTGTACACACACATATGTGAGCGTGGGTATGTATGCACATGTGAGTATGTGTCATTGCTAGAGGGGCCAAAGGAAAAAAGACCCTTTCCCCAGAGCCAAGTTAGAAATTAACAGGAACAATATGACAAACACAAGGTCATCCAGAGTTCTCAAAAGTGATGTCAAAAAACAATGAGGTGTTAAGTCTATTTTGTAAGCCATAAAAATGCAGGACACAATGAGCAAGTGATAAAGTTCGCTCTAAACACAACAGACAAATAAGGGCATTGATATAACGTGGTTTTCATTAACCATTCCTTCGCTCCCAATCTCAATCAGATGCTATTTACGCTTCAGCAGCAGAAATCACAATTGTCAAACATGAACATAATGACCTACACTAAGCTTGTTTTGAGATTGAGGAGATTGGCATTCCACAGCTTTCCTTTCAACCTGACATTTTTTAAATCTTGAACATAAATTCAGTATAGCTAAAAAGTGAACAGTCATGCTTCAAATCCAGAATTATGTTTTTCTTGTCAAATACCGCCCTCTGTGAAGTGCATCACCAAACCCCAGTAGAAACTTACCCTTCAACTTGAGGTCGACATTATGTCTCAGCCAAGGATAAACCCCATAGCTTGGCATATCCTCAGGAATTGGATTACTGTTTATCCAGCCATCACAAGCAAACCGGAAAAAATTATCACAAGGGTCCACAGATGGATTTACTTTACTCAAGATGGCAGCAGCTATTTAAAAAGAAAATCACAGGATTAATGACAATCACTGAATATTGTGTACTGGCCTCTTCCAAATTAAACAATGGTTTCTTATCAACCAGTTCCCAAGACTTGGCTTTTACATTTCCCCTTAAATGACTCCCTGAATCAACTGCACCATACCAAATGACTACATTCAGAGCGAGCTGGTTAAAAGTTTGCTATTATTGCTACTGGGCTTTGCAGGACCACTCCTGATCATCTTTGGGGCATAGGGCAGGCATACAAATGGAGTACATGCTAAACTGTTTGCAAAGATGCATGCGACATTTCCTTCCAGCCCTCTCGTCCTTCTGCAAGGTGACTTTGCCACTCTTTCCATCAAGCAGTCTATTTCCCCTGCCTTGAATCTGGGCTGGCCTAGCAACTTGCTTAAACCAATGGAATGTGACAAACTAACGTTTCACAAATTTAAAAGCTAGATCTTAAGAGACCTTGCATCTTCCATGTCAACTCCCTCTGAATGGAGCCCTGAGGCTGCCCTGGAGGAGCTGAGGCCACATGGAGAAGAATCAAGCCAGCACCAACTGCCAGACTGAGGCTGTCACGGACCTCCCAGGCCAGGCAGCCCTCCAGGTGAATGCAGCCCAGGCAGTATCAGCACAGGGACGCCCACCGAACCCACGGCATGAGAAATATTAAATCACTCCTGTTTCAGGCCTCTAAAGTCGGTTTGTTCTACAACAAAGGCTAACTGAGACAGAGGCCCCTATGTCATATCTAAATATTTTAAAGATATATTTACAATACACCTTCATAAAGACCCGGAAGGCCAGGTATGAGTCCTTGAGCGCCTTGGCATTCAGAGCAGCTCTCAGAGTTATGAACTCTTCTATGAGACCCAAACAGTCCCTGAAGGGAGGCCTGGGGCTATCTAGCTGGGGACGGGGCTGTAGGAGGCTGCTGACTTGGCCCAAAAGACCCCTTGACTAGGGAGGAGGGCAAAGTGGGGCGTTCTGAATGAGGAACCGAAGGCAGAGACCTCTCTTCCCCAGGTCTAAGGGCTGAGTATTTGTATACGTTAACAGAAAGATACAATAGACTGATACATCATTCACTTCCTCGTTTATAAGCCCAGACACAACTGCATATGAAAGATAGCCAATAGGTAGGAAGTTTGTGCAACTTTAAATGTTTCCGTGAGCTTAAAAATAATCTTTCATTACAAAATGAGAGGGTTCCAAAATTCCCAACATTGAACTCCAACTCCCTTCCAACTGTCATACAATTGCTGGCTACCACTCGAGCACAGAGATATGCACCAACTGATTTTTTTTAAAAGACAGCCAATATTTTAATGACATCGGAAAGAAGACATCCTGGGTAGTTTTCATACTCTAATTAATGTGAGAATACATTTTTGTTCAAAGTCATGAAAACCCAATGAGTCTTCTGCTAAATGTGAATAAATTGCCCCCCAAAAGTATAATCTTCATAAATTTAGATACAGATATTAGTTTGGTTACATATGTGGTTGCTCCAGGTTTAAAAATAAGGCTAGATATTTTTCCTGCCTTGACTTTCTATGAAAATTTCAAAGAGCTTTTGTCTTCAACGAAGTAAATAATATACAAACACCCTAAGTTCTATAGAACTTCAAAATCCCTACCATTTTCAAAGAACAAAGAAAAAATGGTTTAGAAACCAGATGCATTTAAAATTGGCTTAATATTTTCATCTTTCAGAATTCGCTTGTCTCCAATAACATTTTCACTTACTGCTATTCTTCCTTTATTATTTAATATGCAAATACGGTATGCTAGATCTCACAAAATCTTCATTTCAGTTTCTACTTAAAAGTTATGCCAGCTGCGCAGCTACAGAATAAATATTCTATGTGTCACCTCAGGGTCATTGATCATACAAGTTTCAGTCCCACACAATATTTACACTCACACAAAGGAACCTTCACACACATTTTTATTCACATAAGCACACTGTTATCTGGATGCCTCCCAACCCTCAAATGGATCCCTCCCCATCTCCTCAGTATTCTTGCAGGTACCTAGAAAAACTGCAAGATCAGCTCTGACCTCAGCCCTGATATACAGTGGAGGAACACATCACTCACACAGAATTTGGAACTGAGCCCGCTGAACGGGAAAACTCTCGCTTCAGCCTCCCAATTCATCATTCACAATTCACAGCTGGGCACAGAGCTGCACCTTCAGAAGGGGAACTGTGACTTCAAATTGCAAGGGACCATAGTTGTCAAGACACCAAAACTCCTTTCTCCATACTCAGCTTCATGGAGAAAATCCAGAGAGTCTTGTTTTAATAAAAGAAATATGGTGATAAAGAAAACCTGTTCTATGTATTCTCTCACGTCACTGCATGTAAGATAAATTGTTACATGGTTTCCAGCTAGTGTTGACATAGTAGAGCTGGCGGTACCACCCCATATACCAGGCTGAGTTTGCAAACTTAATCAGGACTCAAGAAAGAGAGGGAAGCTGTTAATAATAATAAACACCGGGCATTTCCCCTGTGCCAGAACTATGCTAGCCCTTTTCAGGCAGGATGGCATCATGGCACACTGCGGAGCCAGACGACCCGGGTTTGAATGCCAGCAATACCACGTGGTAGCTATGTAACCTCAGGCAGGTTATTTAACCTTTCTAGGTCTTAGTTGCCTCATATGTAAAATGGGGCTCATAACACCCCATAGGATTTTCATGAAAATTAAATGAGTAAATGCATGTAAATTGCTTAGAACCGTGCCAGGAACACCGCCATATAGTACAGCTGCCAGGTACAATACAGGATAACTAGTGAAATTTAAATTTCATATAAACGACTACTTTTATAGTATAAATTCATACCAAATATTGCATGGGACAGACTTATGAAGAAAAAAAAAAGGAGCCGTTGTATATCTGCAATTCAAATTTAACTGAGCATCCTGAATGCATGTGTGTAGCTAAATGTGGCAACCATGCATATAAACTTTCAATATTACAATTTCACAAACACTGATCTGAAACTTGAGGCCAGATATTTCAGAGCTCATAGATTTTGATATTTTAGAAAAGTAATACAATGCATATACCACAGATTATATAATGCCTCCAGCAACATCTGGAGTGGCACTCCCGAAACAAGCACATTAATAATTCTATTGGGAACATATACATATTCTCATAAGTGAGAAAAACAAAGTCTAAAACAGCCTCACATAAGTTAAGATCCACGGGAGTTGCGGTCGGCTCCAGTCCTGCCAAATGCAAGTTACCATCCTTTCTGGGTTTGGGGTTAAGGATCTGGAATTGTGGACCCGGGATACTACTACCACCATTATTATTTTCTTGTGTTCTCACAACTAGCATGAAAGGTTAAAAACTGTTACTCCCACTCTATAGATTGTGAAACTGAGACTAAATTTAGATGGCTGTATACTTAGCCCAAGATCACATGGCTTGTAAGTAGCCAGATCGTGCTTCAAACCCCAGCCAGACTGTTTGCCCTTATCCACTACCATTAGCATACCTGTTCCTTGCCAATTCCTTCGTTTTCCTGTATTTTTTCTCCACTACCTATTTTAAAAGGCAGGTTAAAATAGGAGGAAATAGAAAACAGGAGGGAAAGAGAACTACAGAGAAGACATCTTAGAAACGGTCAGAAGCCAATCACTTCCTGCCACGTGACGCCCACACGAGCCCGTGGCAACCACGCACGCACGCACGCAGCGCACGTGCAGGCACGCTGGCACGCACAAGGCGCACATGCACGCACACACGGCAAACACACACACACAAACACCGTACGCACATGGCACCACGCATGTACGCATTCCAGCATGCACAAGGCACGCAGGCACAGTGCACGCAAAAATGCAGTCATCACAAGGCACGCACGCACGCGGCACGCACGCACGCGGCACGCACGCGGCACGCACGCGGCACGCACGCGGCACGCACGCGGCACGCACGCGGCACGCACGCGGCACGCACGCGGGCATACAGGTACGTACAAGGTGCCCACTCATGCACACACGCAGTCACATAGTGCCCATGCACTTACAAGGTACTCACACACCACATGCAAACGCGGGCACACACAAGAAGCCCACACACGCACAAGGAGCCCACGGCCTTGTTTGTGCCTGAGTTCGTGCACGCACAAGGTGTGGACGCAAGCACGCACTCAGGCACAAACAAGGCAACCACTGGAACGCATGCATAAGGCCCACATGCACAAGGCCACAGGCACACACAAGGCGCCAGTGCATGCACACAGCGTTGTTCCGGACCGTCTTTGGGCCACAAACGGCGCGATGTGTAGTCTGCAGCGGTTCTGCAGACCTCTGTGCACAGTGGAGCTCCTGTTACACTAAAGAGGACTATATCTTTGGTGAGCCCTTCACTAGAGAAACAGCAAAAATATTTTTTCAATATTAGAAAGCCATTTCCAACGTGAAAATTAAAAACAGACAGCAAGGCAAAACACACTAGCTGGCAATATGTGACATTACCAAATATTATGTAAGTTTTACTCTTGCCTTATGATTCATTGTAAAAAAAAACAATTCATGAAATTAGTGGCCCTCTGCACGAAAGGTTGACTCAATTCAAATTGACATTGTATGCGTTCAAAAATTTCATTTTCACACATGTGCAAAAACCGCACCACAGCAAAAGCACAGGGTGACATAAAGTGTAAAACCCAGCCTCTGATAGTCTCACCGGGTGCCCCACCCTATGATACGTCGTCTCCTCTGGAGAAAACCCTAGGCCTGCTCAAGCTGGGAACAGGAAAAGGCCTGGGACTTATATCTTTCTCACCATTCCAGGGACAAGATCAGGAGGCTGAAATGGTTGCCCAGTCAGTAGACTCTTGTAGATCTAGTATTATGAAAAAAAGAGCAGGACAGGGCGAGGGTCAAAGAGAGTTACCTGGCATGGTCTTGTGGCACTGAGGCATGGATGGAGAGGAGCCAGACATGAGCTTTAAGTCCAGCACTTCTGCTAACTTAGGATGTGACCCTGGGCAAGGTAGTTAGCGTCTACAAGCCCACATTTTCTCATTTGTAATTGAGCCTGGTGATAGCACTGACTTCATGGGGTTTTTATGATGATTTTATAAGATGGCACATGCAAGTCACTTAACACATTGTCTGGTTAAAAATATAACATATGGATCAGAATGGGACAAAAAAAGAACTCTAACAACATAATTATCTAACCCGTCACCTTTGCATAAGGCCTCAGTTCAAAAGCTCTTTAGCCTAGGTCTCTCCCGTCTGAATAAATGCTACCACCCAACCACTGCCAAAAATCTAAGCATCACCATGCTCTGCGTTTTCCCACAGCCCACATCCAATCTTTCAGCAAACCCTCCATCTCCTAAACCTTCTAGTTTCCCTTTCCATCTCTTGAATTCAAGACAGCCTCACCTCTCACCTGGCTTACCAAAATAACCTCATGACCAAGCAACTTCTTGCATTTTGACTCCCTATAGTCTCTTCTCCATGCAGAAAAACTCTCAGAGAGTCTAGTTCTCCAAAGAGAGATCTTTTTAGATACTAATAACATCAGACTTTCCAATCTAGCCATCCTGTCACTTGTTATCACATTATTCTCTGTTAATATTTTCATTTTCTGCATAACATGTATATCAGCTGATATTTTTCTTGCGTATCAATTGCATTGTGTGATTGTTCGTTGTCTCTCTTCCCTTACCTGGTCATTCTGCTCCACTGCTGTACAGGCAGACCTCAGAGATACCGCAGGCTTGGTTCTGGACTGCCACAATAAAGTGAGTGGTGCAATAAAGTAAGTGTCACAATAAAGGCGAGTCATAATCTTTTTGCTGGTGGAGGATCTTACCTTCAATTTGTAAAAATAATAATAATACATCTGTGAGGAGCAATAAATTGAAGCTCAGTAAAGTGAGGTATGCCTGCATTCCCAAAACTTCACTCAGTGCCTGGACTGCAATAAATATGTGGTGAACTAATTCATTAATCTCTTAAGGTCAACAGGAAAGTTAAAGCGTCGTGTCCTTAACTTATCATATGGCTTTCTCTATGGAGAACACGCTAGTGTCCCTGTCCACCTAAAGAACACGGGTAGGGGCTGGAATCTAGGTCGTGCAAATCTAGGCCCTAGCACGGGTTTATGGGGGAAATCTAATAGCTGTGACGAAACTGAGACAACTTTAAGCACTCAGCTTCACTTTAGCGAACCCGCTGCTATATAGCCTGGTCACCTCAAGAAAAATTTGACTTCTAACATGGAATAGAAGGACCCAAAGGGATTCCAGGTTACAGTGGAATCATGAACTTACAGAAGGTCCCTGCTTAGATGCAAACAGTTTAGGCCAATCAGCCAGAAGATTCAGGAAGACTGCTTAAGATAAATAAAAATCTGTATCCAGTTGAGGCCATTGGAAGGTTAATGGGCTCCATCTTTGGGCCTTCAGAGAGTCCATTCAGCCCTGGCTGGTGTGGCTCAGTGGATTGAGTGCTGGACTGTGAACCAAAGGGGCGCTGGTTCGATTCCCAGTCAGGGCACATGCCTGGGCTGTGGGCCAGGTCCCTAGTGGGGGGCACGTGAGAGGCAACCACACAGATTAATGTTTCTCTCCCTCTCTTTCTGCCTCCCTTCCCCTCTCTCTAAAAATAAATACATAAAAATCTTTTTTAAAAAGAGAGAGAAAGTCCATTCAGCCTTCCAAGTGCCTTCCCGACTTCCTTATACAAGAAAACACTGGGGTCTTATGAGGGAAGTTTCTTTCTTTTTATTAAATTTATTGGGGTGACATTGGTTAATAACATTATATAGGTTTGAAGTGTTTTTATTGCACTTCGTTTTATTGCTCTTCACAGATGTTGCCTTTTTTATAAACTGAAGGCAAGACCCTTCACCAACAAAAAGATTACAACTCACTTCTTGTAACACTCGCTTTATTGCGGTGGTCTGGAACTGAAACCGCAATATCTCTGCGGTCTGCTTGTAATGACTTGGAATACCGCACAGCTGTTTTTTGCGAGGAAAAAGAAAACAGGAAACCTGCGCTCCACGACTTCACACCAAGACTTGAAAGTAAACTTAAAATTTCATCAAAATTGCATTTCGTACTTGGTAAACCTCAAGCAAACAGAATCCTAAAAATACCACCTGTTTTCTCTTCCACTCCCCAAGGTACCATAATTATAACTTGACACAGGATGGAAAACTGACTTACCAGCTTCGATGCACTCTGGCTTCAGGCAGTACTCCTGTTTAGCTTGGAGACTTAAAAAACCTTGACTCACTGAAAAAACAGACCAAAATAAAGAAATGACTGGCTTGAAGCAGACCGCCCTCAGGTAACCCACCATCAGGCATATATGCAAGACATTTGACATGACTTCATCTTTCTCAGTACTGGACACGGAATTCAAAAATCCAGTGGGCTCAGTATCACAGAACCAAACTCTGGTCGCTAGGTATGTAACCTTGGTGGCATTCCTGGTTGCTCGGAAACTCAGTTCTCTAGAACATAAGATGGATAATTGGGCACAATTGAACCAGTGCTTCCCTGGGCAGTGGCAACAGCATCACCTGGGCACTTGTTACAAATGCAAATTACTGAGCCCTGCAGGCCTGAATCAGAAACGCTGGGATGGGGTCCATCCTTCTGCATTTTAACAAGCCCTCCGGGAGATTCTGATGCATGCTCACATCTGAGAACCACTGGGCTAGAGGATCTCTCAAGTCTCTTCCGTCTCCTACTTTCTGTGATTTAAGCCTCAAAATTTTACTCTTTTTGTTTACAACTACCTTCTTGTTTTAGTGATGGGAAAATTGAAACTTATGTCATGTGGAACAAATCCTGAGGGAAAGCAGAAAGCTAACATGTGTGGCATTTAAAGTCCTGGATCTTGTCTAAACCATCCATACAGATAAGGCCCAGAGGGGCAGTAGGTAATAACAGGCTCTGGCAGGAGTAAGGCCTGCTTGAGTGTGGCTGGAACAGTAATACTTTATATGGGTGTAATACTTTATAGTTTTAATTTAAACATTTCACCTAAAATGGAATCTGGTGTGCTTGAGTGTGATATTGTTATGTTACAAAATGACAGGCTTATGATTTTGTAGTAAAAAAGGGGCGTTATTTGTGCTAGACCCCTGTATATTGTATATAACTCAATCATCTGGCAAGAGAGTCATCATCTGCCTGCCCCGTACCACACACACCCTCCTCCCTCCAGACCCAGCCTAGCTGCCAGGCAGATGCAGCTCCATGAACCAAGCTTCCAGCTACTTCCACCAAAACAAAACAGAACAAAACCCCAGCAAGATGGAAGCAGCTTTTCACCAATAGCTTAATTTCCCCCATCTGGTGCAACATTATCTAAATGGATTTCTGCAGGAGTACAGAAGGGTGCCCCATTTGTAAACTCCAGGTAGCACCTGGGCATTAGCAAATGTGAATTTAGATTTCAAAAATATTTTTGGTAGCCGAGGAAGTTGCGGGGAAATCATCGTCGCTGTACTCTGTGGGCAGGAATAAGGAATCATTTGGACATGTGGTCGTGGGAAGATGGATGGGGGGCGGGGCTGGGGGAAGGAGGGCCAAGGCCTTTCCTGGCATCCTCAGCTGAGAAGCAGGTCAGAAAGCTCGGCAGTACCTACATTTCTGCTAGAGCTGGAACATCCGTACATCACTTGCCAGCGCGGTGATTTGTATTATTTATGAACCCGCATTCTGAGAGGAACTGGCTTTTTCTTTCTTCTTACCTCTGCTGCCATCCTCCAAACAGACTTTTACTTGTTACATTACAGATTCCAAAAACTGCCTATGGTATATCTCAGGCCTGCTTTTAAGAAAAGGAGTATCATAGCATAAAGGTGTGTTTTGATTTCTTTAAAAAGCAAAGAAAAAAGGTAGAAATATATCTGTGCAGTGTGTAAAGATTAGTACTGAATATTTTAGTGTGCCTGGGCGGTGGAGCCACAGAGGGAACCATCCCTTCGGTCTGCTTCCATATGTCTACCAAATGTTCTTTAATGAGCATGTGGTTTTTTTTATAAAGGAAAAATAAACTTTATTATACATAATAATGTCTTTAGGATTCTGGACAACAGTTTCTTGATACTAGCCTTGTTTTATTTTAGAAAAAAGATAAGGAAATATTTAAAGACTTATTACTTTCACGGTATAAACTTCCAGTTATAAATGGGTTATGGGAACGTGATGTACAGCATGGTGACTCTTGTTAATAACACTGTATTGCATATGTGAAAGTTGATGAGAGAGTAGATCTTAAAAGTTCTCATCACAAGAAAAAACTATGCAACTATATACACTGATGGATCACTGTAGACTTACTGTAATCATTTTTGCAATATGTATAAATAATGAATCATTATGTTGTACACCTGAAACTAATGTCAATTATATCTCAATAAAAAAATTCAAAGATTTATTCCTTTCATGGAAAATCTGGTTTTTTTTAAAGATTTTATTTATTTATTTTTAGAGAGAGGGGAAGGGAGGGAGAAAGAGAGGGAGAGAAACATCAATGTGTTGCTGCCTCTTGTGCACACCCCACCAGGGACCTGGCCCACAACCCAGGCATGTGCCCTGACTGGGAATCGAACTGGCAACCCTTTGGTTCACAGGCCGGCATTCAATCCACTGAGCAACATCAGCCAGGGCCATGGAAAATAATTCGTGACACAAAACCTCTAAGGAAACAGAACTAAAACCAAATATCTTTATATGATGATGAGTAAAAGAAAGGTTTAGCCCTGGCTGGTGTGGCTCAATGGATTGAGTGCCAGCCTGAGGACCAGAAGGTCACCAGTTCAATCCCTGGTCAGGGCAGATGCCTGGGTTGTGGGCCAGGTCCCCAGTTGGGGGGGTGTGAGAAGCAACCAATCAGTGTCGCATACCGATGTTTCTCTCCCTTTCTCCTTTCTTTCCCCTCTCTCTAAAAATAAATACATAAAATATTTTTTAAAGGTTTAAATTAAATAATTAAGATGGAAACAGACCCAACCCCAAAGCAAGAGCATTATATCCATGGGGGGAGAGGTTATCTTAAGATCCTGCAAATAAATAAAGGTCAACAAGCCCAGATATTGTGAAGGTGTAAGTGAATGAAATAGAGACAACAAAGAAACTTTTTTTCATGTTGGAAATGAAAATGTTAGTTTTTACTTTTAAAAAACTGAAAGAGCAGTTTGGTTTCTCATTTTAGATTTCTCTATAACCAGCAGAAATGACCTGAGAGTGCAGCGGAGTGGGGCCCTCCACAGAAGGAGAACATGAGAGTGGCCAGACGTGGGGTCAGCAAGCATGGCCCGCGGGCCCAGCCCAGTCCCCTGCCTGTTTCTCTATGGCCCACGAGCTAAAAATGGTTCTTACATTTTTAATGACCGTTTTAAAAATCAATTAAAATAGGATAATATTTCGTGACATGTAAAAATGGTCTGAACTTCAAATTTCAATGTCCAGAAATCAAATCGTACCAGAACACAGCCATGCCCCTTTGTATACATATCGTCAATGGCTGTTCTTGTGCTACAACAGGGTCAAGTATCTGCAACAGAGACAGTATGGCTCAGAAAGCTGAAAATATTTACTATCTAGCCCTTCACAAAGAAAACTTCGCCACTTATTGCATTGGAGAAACAGACTGTAGGGAGGAGGGGTGGGGGGAGGGGGAGGAGAAGAAAGGACATTTTAAGATAAACTGGCTATAGGCATATCATTATACCTGACATCTCTAATCCTAGTGCTCTAAGTTCTCTAAGACCACCCCAAGGCAATCCCTCTTACTGTAGAAGGACTAAGGTTTAGAAAAGAGATTACCCCAGAGCCTAAAACACAAAGAGGTAAAGAAAAATGCTAGAAATTGCAGACATGTGACTGAACTTGAACAGACAGAAGACTATACCACAAAGTCAACCCGGAAGCACCTTGAAGAGAAGAGGACCTTAACCAGGATATTGTCACAAAGAGCATTGCCTGGCAGGGGTCCCAGGAGATTTTCAGGCAAGGACTTTGCTGGGTGCAGGGTGGAGGTAGGGGGCAGAGCCTACGAAACCAGGTAATGGAAAGAGTGGTAAGAACGGAGAGTCTGAAATAGTGCAGAGACATTTTACAAAAATATCATTTATTTTTAATTTGGGAGTATAAATATATTTTAAAGCAAGTGTCTCTTTACATGCAAACGGATGTGGTCATGTGAAGCAATGCTTCTCAAACTTTAATTTGGTGAAAATGCAGATTCTGAATCAGTACGTCTAGGGGAGGGTAAAGCGCTGGCTTGCAAGTGATGCTGATGCTGCTGGTCCATGGCCCACACTTTGAGGAACAAAGGTGTGAAATGGTCACACCCTTACTCTCTAAAATCATTAGAGCTCCTCTTAAAGATTCATGGTGAGAGCCAGGTTATTGGGCACCCTGTAAAGTCATTTTTTCCTATTATATGCAGACCTACTTACCCATAATAGTATTGACTGGCTTGGTAAATTTTCCTGCACTCTAAAAACTTTAGAGGTACTCCCAAAGAATCATGTTCCCTCAAAGAACAAGGATGTGCTGCCATCAAGAACATTCCAATTAATATGCTACCACCCCAGAATGTAATCATAAAAATGGAATTTCAAAAAAGTTTCAAGCACCAGTAGTAATATCATTAAAAAAAGAGTACATATTCTAACATAAACAATCATCATTTGGATTTTTAAGTTGGGAGTGTTTTCAAAATACAAATAGTGCAACTCTGTGGTCACTTTGCACATGGTATGTATAGTCCCTTGGTGTGGCCATATTATTTTTCCTCCAGTTTTGAATTTTAGGATAAGACACTTGCCTGAAACCCAGGTGCCAAGAAATCTCATAACAGTTTACAAGAGCCACACGTTTGGTTGCAGGAGTAGGAGGTTTAACTGTACCAGAAAGCTATAAACCCATCTAATTCCCTAAATTTTCAGCCACAGAAAACATGGAAAGATGGTTTGCTCGTTTTAGCAGAGTTTTCAACCACACAGCCCTAACTCTTTTAAAGTTTAATGACTGGTTTTCCCCTTCCAAGATAAACATGGTCTCCTGCATCCTGTGTATGCCAAGGAATGTTTCCAGGCATGCTACATTTCAAACTGCACCTAGAATCTCCTAAGTATAACGCTTGGTCCTACACAACTTTCAAACTAATGAAATTGTACAGGCCACATGAGCAAAATACAAAGACTGATAGTCAAGGGTTCACCATGCCTACAGTCTTTCCAAAGTAGTTCATTCTTTTTCATAAGAATATGTTTTCATCATCCTATATTCTCCCTGGGTACCTTATTCTCACCAAGAGTTATTAAAATAATTGAATCACTATCCTTTTCAAATCTGGGAAGAAAACTTCTGTTTTCCTTCATATTAATTTCTAAATCTAATAGAAACATCAAATGAAAATTTTATCCCACCAGAGTTACTGGATTAGAAAGGAATTGAAGAATAGCATTAAAGGTGCATTTTTTAAAAAATGAATTTGTATTTTGTGAGTTAAATTTTACGATTCATTCAGGCAAAATTGATAAAAATCAAATGGGAAGAAATTCCAGCATGGTTTTGATCACAGTGCAAGTCTTTCCTCACAAAATAAATGAAAGTATCTGACTATGAATTCATAAACACTCATTTTGCTAAATGTAATACAAAAAAACAATGTTTGCGTGGTACAACTGAATTCTCCAGCCACTCAAAGCCACTTTATACCCACTTCGCATTCTACACTACACACTGCGTACTTGCATGTATTTATTTAGCCCTCTAAAGAAAAGGCTCCCTCTATTTGCATATTTAATAGAAACTAAGGATGCACCACCTACCAACACAAGCAAACAGCCCTCCACCTGCATCCTGACAAGGTCTGACAGAATGAAGCACAAAGAGATTTCACTGCACTCAGTTCCCTGGCCTCCAGCGTCCCACTTACCTAGAAAGAGGACGGTGCCCAGCACCAGGGTGCTACCGATGAACATCGCCAGGGCGATTCGAGTGCCTCTGTTGGCCGCTTTCCCAGTCTCCATGCCGCTCCCCGTTTCTGCTTCCATCGGGAGGGATGTGGAGGCCACGCCAGAAGAGAGTCACCGTTTGTGGTTTGTTGGCTGGTCTCAAGAGTCCGTTAGGTGTTGACATCCAAAGTATTCTTGCTCTTCTACTAATGGGCAGCTTTAAAAAGTCCCATCAGGAAATATCCCCTCGCCACCCCTTCTCAAATAGTTCTTCACAAATGAAGTAAAAGAAACCCAAAATATTGGTTGCCTTGGCTTTCCCCCTGACCAGACAAAACAAACACTGGTTGCTTTATCTTGGTGTGCTCCCCCCAGCAAAGTCCCTCTCAAACGATTGTTTGGCAGGCTCTTCTCTCAGGCGTTCCGGGTGTACATGTTTTACTGTGTTGCTGAACAGATGTTTTAGCTATTTAAATGTATAGTCACTTGGGGAGGAAAAAACAATTGTCTTTATCAAAACTGGATTCTCATCAAACTCCCCCTGACCATGATAAGTTAGGTGGCAACGATTCTCCGGACCCACTGCAAGATCACAAGGAATCACGTAATTCTTTTTGCAATAATCGTTCTGCTCCCTTGAATTCTCTTCATCAAAGATAATCTTTCAGTGAGCAAGTCTCTTTTTAAAGCCTTCTAAGAGTTCCTGGGATATCCTGGAGCATTTTATTTTAGGAACTTTGTGTATGACAGCATGTGCCAAAAATCAGAGTCATAGTCCAGTGCAGTGCAAAGTAGCAATTAAGACAACCTACAGAGGCTGATGGTTTGGACTGGAACTTTTTATTTTGAGGAGGAAGGAAAAAAGCCCGACCTGTGTGTAGTGCTAAGAATTGTACAAAAGACAGGTAAGTTTTCCAATTAAGCATGTTAAGCAAGAAAAGTATGGTAAAAGATTTTTCTTCCCTGCATGGTTTGATGAAAAGTGTCCCCTGTGTATTTTGTCCTCTAGCCCCACTCTAGGCAGCCATTGGCTACTATGTTGTTGTGTTTACATAAAGCATCCATTTCGACAGATTCCCGCCCCCCAGGCTGAATTCAAAGGCAATTGGTTTCACTGGAAAGACTAAGTATTGGCTGGGTCTTTGACTTCTTTTATTAAGCTAATATTTTTAGGTTATGAAAATCTGCTTTCTTCCTGGGAAAGGGCAACCAATATTCCAATGCTTTTGAAATGATATACATTTTATGATCCAATTACTGGGCTGGGCAAAAGTAGGTTTACAGCTTTGAGTACACAAGAAACAGAATTTATTCTTGTATTATTTATCTACTGATTATTGTACTGCCTATTATTATTATCAGGCTACTTTTCCCACCCATGTATATAGATATCATTAACTCACAACACAATTATTACTTACCTGTTCTTGTTTAACTTGAAGTCATGAGACAGTGGGACTGAGCAGTGGAGGATTTAGCTACATTTAGAAACTAGAGGAGCATTTTTCTCATACAAAATTTGTGCCTATGGGCCTGGAGGTCACACCAGAGCTCAGTAGACACTAATGAGCCCAGTATAACATGACCCCGTGTTCGCAGTCTTATCTGCCTGATCCTGGTCAGGCTTTAGACCCTTAGCGTGGGATTCTCCCAAGATTTTAAACTTATTTCATAACACATCCTACCTTCTTACTTTCTGCTCAGTTCGTGTTGCCTTAAAGTCAGAAGAGCATAACACTTGTCCAAATTATGACATCATAGCATGCTATAGACATTATGTGCTTGTTGGCTGCTGAGATATATAGATATAGATATAGATATAGATATAGATATAGATATAGATATAGATATAGATTTGTTGTTGTTGTTCTTGTTGTTGTTATTCTATAACATATCCTAGCAGGCCTTTGGCTCCTAGGTTGTTCTCCCAAGAGTTTTTGGACTTGACTCCATAATACTTCTTAGACTGTGAGTTCCATGAGGTGGAGAATCATGTCCATGAGGTTCAGGGCTACAGCTCTAGCATCTATAGTTCCTCGCCCATAGCAGCGAAGGGAGAAAATAAGAGCAATGAAAGTAATCCAACTTAGTCCTAGATATTTGTTCTTAAACAGCAGCTTCAACAACCTCAGATGCTAGTGGCTAGGGGGGTTTCAGCCTCCTAATTCCATCTAAATGCTCAAATAATAGTGATATTTCACATGGGCATAGCACTTTCATATCCCATGTTAACCTCAGGGCAAGCCCATATACTTCATAACAAGGGTATTTTCTCTCCGGTTTGCAAATGAAAACACTGAGGCCCAAGGACCCAGAAAATGGAAATATGGTGAGGGGGATCACTGCCATACACATTCTCAAAATCTCACACATTTTGGGTGCATCCGGACATGCAATGGTGGCCATGGGCTGCCAGCTGGAGTAGCCTTTACCCTCCTTAGACCGGCAATTTCTCCACAGGTGAGGGCAACTGGGGCTTACCCTGATATCCACCTATCCATCACTTATCAACATAAATTCTTTTTTTTTAAAGATTTTGTTTATTTATTTTTAGAGAGAGGGGAAGGGAAGGAGACAGAGAGGAAGAGAAACATCAATGTGTGGTTGCCTTTTGCATGCCCCCTACTGGCGACCTCGCCCACAACCCAGGCATGTTCTCCGACTGGGAATCGAACCAGCAACCCCTTGCTTCGCAGGCTGGCACTCGATGCACTGAGGCATACCAACCAGCGCAACATGAATTCATTCCCGAATATTCAACTGCTAAATGAAAAACCATAAACTAAAAAAGGAAATAGTTTCCATAATTGTAACAGAAAAAGTATAATGCATTCCATCCCAAACTAAGATATGCAAATGCAGATAGAAAAATGTACTAATTGAACAATGAAACAACCCTATGAAAATAATTCACAGCTTTCACCCTGGCCACTGTGGCTCAGTGGATTAAGTGCCAGCCTGTGAAGCAAGGGGTGGCTGGTTCGATTCCCAGTCAGGGCAAATGCCTGAGTTGTGGGCCAGGCCCCCAATAGAGGGCGTGCAAGAGACATCCACACGTTGATGTTTCTCTCCCTCTTTCTCCTTTCCCTTCTAAAAAATAACTAAATACAAATTTTACAAAGTTTTAAAATATAATTCACAGCTTTCAAGATATTGAAAATAAATAAGTTGTTTATATTGATATAATGTAATGCAATGAAAGTTTATTTTACTTACCAAAGGAATAAAGGAAGACTTGAGAAGGGGTGGGAATTGGTACAGGAAAATGTATGGGTGAATCATTCATTATAAGGGGCATTCTTTATTCTGTGCCATTTTCCACATTAATTTCCAACCTTTTGGGAGATGATGATTATCTTGCATTCAAACTGCACTTAAAAATAAAGTTGTAGCACAGAAAAAAAATTCTCTTAGGGAAAAATAGAGAAGTCCAAAACACAGAAATAATGAGTGTTCATAAAAGATGAAAACAAAGGTCTGCATACTATGGCACATGGGCCAAACCTGGCCCACTGCCTGTTTTTGTAAATAAAGTTATATTGGAACAAAGTCATACCTATTTGTTTACATATTGTTTATCATTGCTTTCATGCTACAAGGTCATAGTTGAGTTGTTTTGCAACACATTCAATATGGCCTGTGAAGCTTAGAATATTTACTCTCTGACCCTTTACAAAAAGGTTTACTGACCTTTTTGGTGTGTATGGTTATAGGAAAACACATTTGCCAGTAATACATCTGATAAAGGGTTAATTTCCAAAATGTGTACAAAACTTATTCAACTCAACACCAAGAAGGCAAACAGCCCAATTAAAAACTGGGCAGAGGACCTAAATAGACACTTCTCCAAGGAGGGTATACAAATGGCCAATAGACATATGAGAAGATGTTCAAGGTCACTAATCATCAGAGAGATGCAAATTAAAACCACAATGAGATGTCACCTCATACCTGTCAGAATGGCCATCATCAATAAATCAACAAACAACAAGTGCTGGCGAGGATGTGGAGAAAAGAGGACCCTCTGCACTGCTGGTAGGAATGCAGACGGGTGCAGCCACTGTGGAAAGCAGTATGGAGTTTCCTCAAAAAATTAAAGATAGAACTGCCTTTTGACCCAACGATTCCACTCCTGGAAATATACCTTAAGAATCCTGAAATACGAATGAGAAAGAATATATGCACCCCTATCCTCATAATAGTGTTACTTACAATAGCCAAGATCTGGAAACAGCCCAAGTGCCCATCAGTAGATGAGTAGATAAGAAAGCTGTAGTACATTTACACAATGGAATACCATGCGGCTGTAAAAAAGAAGGAAATATTACCTTTTGTGATCGCATGGATGGACCTGGAGATTACTATGCCAAGCGAAATAAGCCAGTCAGAGAAAGGGACATAGAGTATGATTTCACTTATACGTGGACTCTAATGAACAGGATGAACTGACAAACAAAATAAAACCAGACGCAGGGATACATGGAACAGACTGACAGATCTCAGAGGGGAAGGGGTGGGGAAACTTGAAGAGATTAGCCAAAGAACATATATGATATATGCATAGCCCATGGACACAGACAACAACAGTGTGGTAAAGGCGGGGGGGGCAGAGACTGGGTGGGGGGGCAAAGGTGGAAAAAATGGGGGACATCTGTAATAGTGTCAACAATTTTTTAAAAAAGATTTACTGACCCCGGACTAAAGAGTAGTAGATGATGCTGACTGTTCACCGCACCTACGTGGCGCACATGATCAAAAAAAATATTCATTCACACTTGACCGGCTTCTCAATACCATTCCATTCAGTGTTCTCTAAAAACAAACTGTTGTGTCAGGGAAATTGGTAGATGTGTTTTTGCCTGAAACTACAATATTGAAACTACAACATATTATTTAGAGTATCTTGGGGTAAAAAGGCATTATCCTGGGAAAAATGGGGGTGGGCGGGTTGTCCAAAATTTTATTTCTCAAGACCTGTGAAAATTAGTTAACTGAAGTCACTATGCACATAAATCTGTTATTAACCTCGCCTGCACCCACCCAACTGTTTCAATGAAGAACTTCCAGAACTATCTTGAGCCTTAACTGGAATCAACTGA